AGACTCCATACCTGATACATTTCTTCAAATGAGCCATCAAGAGCTTTCTTCTCCTGACTAGTTTCCCGATCGGAAGCTATTCTTCCATCTTTCCCTGAAAATCAATGGCTTCAGAAATGTTCAACTGTTACTTTTCGACTTCTAACTTTGAAACGTGAAACTTTTCAAACGACTAAAAAATATGAATACCCGGAAGATAATAGGTCTCGCATTGTCCCACAGGATACTTCCCATCGGGAAACTGCTCATCGATAGGTTTCATAGCCGCTATTTCTTGGTGCCAGTCGACAACTGGAGCTTCTTCCACACCGTTGGGTATCGTATCACCTCCGCCGTTTACAACTGCTGCATTTTTACCTAGAACAGGAAATTCTTCGAAACCATCACGATAAGTAGATAAAGGAGAAATATCAAAGAAAAATAAGCTCCGCAGTGAAATTAGGAGACTCCCTTAAAAAAACTAAGCTGGGACTCTTCCAAGGCTATTACAGTGAAAACAGTCGCTGAAGTGTACTCGGGGTATAATCAAGGAAGCATGACTCTTCTGGGAGCACTAGCCAACCATAAGAATATCTAGTAACGATGAAAATACTACTAGTGGTAGAAGAAAAAAAAAGCTGTAATATGCGAGTGCCACGAAAAGGTCTTAAATTGAATCCGAAGGAAGAAAGTAAGAAAGATGGATTCAAAAGGATTAAAAGAGGAGAGATAGCGCGGCTTTCGGGAAGGGCTCCAGTTCAGAGGATCCGAGCACTTTCACCAGAGAACTCAAGGTATTCAACTTTTTGCGGACCTCAACAGTACGCTCACCTTCACTCTCTAATCGGTTTGCCAACAATTATCTGAATTCGCCAATACTTTAGTAGTAGAACTTATTTTCTAACTTAGTAAGTATATGTTATCCTTGAGAAACGGGGATGGCCTAAGGTTCACCCAGGACTCTTACGTATTCTCCACATGGGCACCGGCCTGTACCGGGTTGAATCGCTCGATTCACCCCTAACAAACACCATTCCCTGAGATGTGCAAGAATCCTCACACCCCTGACACAGCATCAGTTCTTAGCATCTTCGATCAACAAACGCATGGATGCCCCTTACTGATGAAATAGTACTGAGAAAATTATCTGGTCACACTACTACGTTTACAGATCTGCCCGTAACCAAATACGATAGGAGAGGACCACTTCAAAATAACGATTTCCGCTGAAAATAACGCAGCTGAGCGCAGGACCACGATACAGGGCAACTAATCAGTACTGCGAAATCAACATTTAAAACAAGAGACAAACCTCCTTTCTTGCCTCCTTTACCCTTCTTTGCACCAGCTTTCTCTGCTCGGGCTTTATCCTCAACGGCAAGCTCAGCCAAAATCGCATCGAGGTCCTCATCTGAAATCGATCAAAAAATGAAATAAAGCTGAAATGCAACCAAAAACATGGGTACTACGAAATGGGCCATTCAACCACCACATTACATATCGGAAAGGGAATCTCATGTTATGACCGAAATCTCAGTCATTTCATCAGATCCAGCGCATCCCCATCCCTCACGCCCCTCAGTATTCTGTGAGGTGCCATAAGCTCGCCATCTCGCGTTTATTTCTTGCGACAGGGAGGAACTGTTGAAATTAGAGAGAATTGGAAGAAAAAATCGCCTAGAGTGATGCATACGAATCGATCTACTTCCTCAATTCGTCAGTTTTCCGATGGATACATATCAAACCTTTCCCATTCATCACTCAATACTTTGATCTTCACGATTCGTCAATTCTTAACTCTTCAGATCGATAGCCACACACTCCTCTTCCTGGTTTCTTCATCAATTCTCGCAATGTCTTAACGCGGCCTAACCGTCGCAATTTGGTAACAAACTGGCACTGTTCGGCTTGAGCGGGCGCGAGTGAGGGGGAGGGCAAAGCAATTTGGCTTTTTTTTCTGTTGAATTACATGTCTCACGTGAGACCTCTAGACCTTTCTCAAGTGAACGAAGCTCATGCATAGCAGGCGTCAACAAGTTCACACAGTTCGGATCAACAATACTCAATGACAACCAACAAAATGCCCAAATTCGTAAATACACTTCACCTGCTGACGCGGTCTTCCCCTTCTTAGCTGCTCCTTTTTTCGACATGGCTGAAACAAAAGCAAACAGTCATGAGCGTTTGCACAAATCTGAACGAAGGTTACAACAACGTGAAATCACATAGGTACGAGGAAGTTCATCTACTTTTTCAAGCAATACAACTCGAACAAGATAAAGCTTCATTTCAACAAATCTCAAACAAGACACAGGAAAACACCCGTGATCAATATTACCGTAATTTCACCATTTGAATTATTAATCAACTAAGAAATTAGAAAGTAACAACATGGAAGTATGGTAAGACATGCTTTTCTCCGAAAACTAGTAGGCAGTCGATTTGTCTTCAGGTCAGCAAATCTTAGTGATATCTCCTCTTGAGCAACGACAAGTACGAAGAGAAAACTATATAAAAATCTACATTCTTTCTATAAGCCTCGGCAAATCGGCTCAACTGCTCTTCCTCTTCATCAAATGAGCTGCCATCCTCCGAATCGCTATCCTCTTCAGATGATTGGTCTGTCACGCTTTCTGACTCATCTGAAGAAGCGAACTCTTCCTCAGAAGTAGAAACGGGGTCTTCTTCCTCAGAGTTTTGGACCGCTGGCTCAATTTCGTCATTGGTTTGGCTCTCTTCTCTTTTCTGCCTATTTTCTTCACAAGCACCATTTGGACTGCTAGATGGCAGCCGCTGGTCGTGATATTCCTCGACATGAGCCTCATCTCCCTTTACCTGGTCTATTTCAGCTTCAGGCAGTACTTCCAGTTCGGAACTGAGCGGACCAGCTGTATGCGCTTCCAGATCCGCCTCAACCGCAACCTCCTGTCTGCGCCCTGCTTCTTTGTAAACATCGTATTTAAACGTAGTATCAAAGTTACGTAACAATGCAGTGTGGTAATCGACCTTAGCCCGCCAGAGCTCTGGTGGATCACGGAGGGGTACCTGAAATAAACGCAGAAAAAGTTTCAAACAGCAATGGCAGAAAATAAATGGAACTAAGAACACAATATTTAGTCTCGTTTGCTGCGAAGAAGGGGTGTGTCAGGTGGGATGGGCCTAAAACGATGCCAAGCCCGTCCTCTATAGTTCATGGAGTGGGGAAACCGACTACAGCTGGTGGAACACTAGTACGAACGATGACACAGTCCTATCGCTTGCTCACTTCAACAACTGGTGAAGAACGAGTTTGGCTCCGAGCCAAACCCACACCGCTGGACACACCCCTTCCTTCGCAGAGAACAATACTGTGCTAAATTTCAAGTAGAACCACGTGTCGTGCACGTTTGCCAGCTGTTTTCGCAGCTTTTCCCCCCCCCCCCCCCAAATCCTCTAAGACCCAGTCACGCCTCTTTTACCGAAGGAAAATCAGGGAGATAACTTACAACAGCTCCCAGATTGTTCACTTCACTGTCCTTCTCTTCCTGGTACTTCACGTATTGCTCTTTAACTCGAGAACAAAACATTTCGAACGACGATTCCGCTACCGGTGCTCGGAAAGGTTCTCGAGCTGAAGCTAACAACTTCGGTTTCGCCATCTGTGCTCTTTGACGTTCTTTCATGACCTTAACATCGGAGAGACTTCAGAAACACCTCTTCAGTCTTAGACCAGAAAACGGAGCAAATTGCAAGCTATGTGGAGCTCACCTCAGCACGCTGCTTCTTCTCCAGCTGCCGTTGTCTACGCAGCAAATGACTTGGCTGTTGAGGCTGAAAAGGAGCTCTTGGGTCGTGTCCCATACGAGCCTTCACTAGTGGGAATCCAAGCTCTAAAGTTATAAACCTCTCAACAGAAAACATGAAAGGGAGGATCAAAAAATGGTAGCTAGGCTTTTTAGGTATGCCTGTTCTGAATGAACATATCAAGATCGCTTCCGAGAGTATGTCTTTCCACTCGATCTTGAAGCAGCCTTCTGGTCCTTTTTCGGAACAACCGGAGAATTAGAGCTGAATTGCCTTTCTGACATCCAGATAATGCAGAATTCGGAAGCCTCAAGGACCAAACCTGACTGCCTCATTCGCTACGATACTTGCATGACCGTTAGCTTCACATTCTTGATCGAAGGGCAAAAACGGCTCGACAGACATATCAAACCAGAAGAAGACCTAGCTATATTTGGAATATGTTGTCACCGCAGGGCGGTTGCTGTGTAATTCAACGGCACAGTGTACGATGACAATATGACAGACTGGGGATAACTATAGCCAATCACAAGGTGCAGAGCGGCACGCCTGTCGAAAAAAAAAACTGCACGAAAAGGCGAGTACGCCACTTTCCCTCCCCTGCGCCACCCTCCCAAGTAAGACTCCCTACACTTCCGAACATCCTTGGCCGCGTCCATGCATGATAACTGTGAACGCGATATAAGAAAAAATCGTGGTTGATTCGACAGAAATCGTCAGAATTGGGAGAAATTGCCAGAGTCTGCAAAAATCTCGAACACTCCGTCATATGCCGGTTTCCGATTGGTGAGGACGCTATGAATCTCTATAATTTCTATGCTCATTATTTCGGCATTTCTTCAGATGCTACATCTCTCCCAATTCCGTGGTTCTTCCAGCCTGCTCTTCAGCTTTTTCGTCATCTTCTTATAGCAGCTGTCTGCATGAATGCGGTCTGAGATGAGTTTTCCTGGGCACGAAGACGACTCCCTTAAAGACACATATACGCTCATGACACACTGAGGGTGCTATAGACTATCACGCACCCGCTCCAGAATGTCGATGTGTCGTGGTCCCCCCGCCCAAACATGCCCAGGAATGGAGATACAGGCCGTGAAACACGCTAATTCCTCCATGCTCCGCCCACTGCCTTTTTACGGCGCAGATTCCCGCCGTTCATAACATCCGTCGTAAGCGCGCCTGTCGCGTGCGGCTCCTTGGCACTTTGCCAAGTCCTTTAATTGCGCTCTCAAAATAAGTAAAACGCAATTTCCTGATGCGACACTGCGGTGTAAATAAGAGGCAGAAGATGATGACAAGCGGGCAACTCAAGAGCAAACGTCGGCTTGCATTCTCGCAGTATGGCCATCAAGGCAGCGCATTCCCGTGTCCAGTGCACGAAAACATTGATAAAAACAGCCCAAGCGTCCCACTCGTTTGTTCTAAGTATTTCTATGGCTTTGGCGCCGGATCGTAGAAATTTACAGGCCAGTTTATCTAATTTGCCTTTCCTTGATTTTTTCATTTTTGTTTTGTTTACATTTACATCGTTGTGCTTCATTTCTAGCCTGTGTCATCTTCATCTCCTTGTACATGGATTTTGAAGCATGAGCAACACCTCAAATTTTATTCGCATCAGGAAATTGCGTCTTGCTTGTATTAAACTAACGAGTATGCCGTTTTATTTTCATGTTTCGTGGAAATACGTGGCCTCCGAGGGATGTTGCAGAAGTGGCACAGTTGCTTTAAGTTCTGACCCTCGTCATCATCTTCTGTTCTTATTTTGCAGCACCTCCAATGTTATCCGCATCAGGAAATTGCGTTTTACTCGTATTTGAGAGCGCAATTAAAGGACTTGGCAAAGTGCCAAGGAGCCGCACGCGACAGGCGCGCTTACGACGGATGTTATGAACGGCGGGAATCTGCGCCGTAAAAAGGCGCAGTGGGCGGAGGGAGCATGGAGAATTAGCGTGTTTCACGGCCCTGTATCTCCATTCCTGGGCATGTTTGGGCGGGGGGACCACGACACATCGACATCTGGGGGCTGATAGTCTCATACACCCTCAATGTGTATGAGCGTACCATGTGTCTTTAAAGTTGCTGATAGCCTCGAGCTCCAAATGCATTAGCGAGCGTGCCACTCAGGCGGTGCACGGTCCAGCCAAGACCTGGTTTTTGGCGACTTAATCCAACGGTCACATTACTGTGTTTGGAATTCTCAATGCCTAATGCTGTACTGTGATTTTATATTAAGGTCTGAGGAAGCTCTTAACATAGCGAAAGCTCACCCATAAAAGTGTTTATGAACGAGTTCTCATTAGCAACTTTCTGAAGGAAAACCTCAATTAGAGTAGCCCACAATACCCAGCCTGCAGGAGGATTTATTGCAGTAACAACATGCACGCAAGTCTCTGAGCGACTGGTTGCCGGTCAGCAGAAAGCGAGGGAATGCGCCAGCAGAAAACTCGACAATAGAAGGTACAGCACCACGGCGCTTAGGTCCAGGATCCTCTGGTCATCTAGCATCCCATGTCATTCTTGCACCCTTTCGTGGGGCAAGAGTAGCAGCACTTCATGTCAGCACTTCATGCAAGAAACGACGCCAACTTTCGAGCAAAATGCCAGTGAACTCGGAGCAAACGTTTCCACAGCTGCGATTTTGGCAGGCCTCTCAGGTAACTTAACCACATCTATCCGTCTGCGTAGCCACCCTGGTTTCCACAATAAGACGTGCTATATTGAAGAAATCCGTGATATGCCGAGTGAGGCGGGCGAGCGACGTCCTCGCCGATAATGGAGTTGATCTTGCCTTACTGTGTGGAACCATGTGGAGTTAAAGAGCGAGGGTTGCGCAGATAAATCCCCAAGACGTGTTAGGATCCATACACCTTGCAAGACAGAATTCACGCGACCCTGAAACAGGCATTGCGTAAATGCCTTTCCCAAGGGAAGGGTGCCCTTTATAAGGTTCTTCTTCTTCTCCCTAGCGTTAGTCCCGCGCCGTCGCAGGGTCCGCTGTTCTTGTTAGATGTCGCCACTTGATCCGATCCACTGCATCTTCTGCTGTGGCTTTTATTTCCGTGAGGTCCCTCTTGATGACGTCCCTCCATCTCTTCTTTGGGGCTCCTCGTGGTCGCTTGCCCTCTACCTCGTAAGTTCCAATGCCCGTTCCTTATTGGGTGATCTTCAGGCCTCCTCAGAACGTGCCCATACCATCGCAGGCGCTGCTCTCGTGCCTTAAGCTGGATCGGAGCGGTCTGTGTGGCCGCTCTGACGTCCTCGTTTCTGACTCTGTCGAGTCGTGTCCAGCCGCAAGCCCACCTCAGCAATCCCGTCATACAGGTGCGCTAATAAGCGCACAATGTGCCGACCCAAACGCCGCTTGCCCAAAATGAAGAATACGATCCAGTCCCCTGACGCTCTAATCGATTCATTTTGGCTAAGGCAACATTATGAAGCGAAGGATTGTATGAAGTGTCGTGATGCTGCATGGCATTACTCGGTAACACATATGGCCATCGGTAGCGTACCTACAGTGGGAGGTTATTGGCAAGATGGCCGGTAGCGGTTATTGGCAAGATGCCTACAGGAAAATTGATTTCTAACACATTGAGAACGGAGGCTCTTTCTTCGCAGGATTTTGACCGTTTCACTCCGTTCTTTCGCCATTTCCCCACTATATAGCGCCCTACTAGCATTTTAGGCCGAGCACCAAATCATCGTGCCAACTGCTTTTAAGGGGACGGCAAATCCGATATCGCTCGTTAAGGAGTTCGCCACAGCTTGAATTCATATAAGTTTCGCTCTCTAGTCGACATACTAGTGCTTATTGAGGAATTGCCGTGCGCAACAGCGAGGCAAATTCCGACTGGGTTGTCCGGTCTCCCGGATAAGATCATGCGAAGGTATTGCAGCAACTTCATCGCTGATTAAAAGTCTTACCTTGACAAAGCATACTGCTTCCATGACTCCTTCGATACTGAATCCCTGATGGCAATCAGCTCACCACGCATATAGAATTTCCTTTTAGCCTTTTGACGCGACGGAACAAATCTGAAAGAACACCAGGAATGATCACAAAGCGCGCCTCATACAGGCAATAGGCACCACACAACGAACATACTTGTATTTCTTAGGTTGCTCATTTGGTACTGCGGACGAGGGCAGCACTTTCGCATCAACGTTTTCGCTTTTAGATTTCAAGATTTTCGCACTCAATTCAGCAACCTCTTTAGCAAAACTGTCACTTTTGTCATTGTTGGACGATTTTTTGTAGATCTGAAATCCATGAACAGGTTGAAACCAAGTCACTCAGAAGAAAAACAAAGCTGGCATAAGAAATTCACCCCTAGTTTGTTAAGCCATGTACGCATTTCCTCATTTAACGGGATCTCACGTTTGGAAAGCTCAACAAACACTTGTCTCTCGTAAGATCTACTGAAAGAGTACCAAATATAAACAATTAACGAAGCGGTTCGCTGGTTTGTTAAAGAAATCGATAAGAATCATTTGGCTTTACCCGGTTGATTCATCAATAACGGCTGTGTTGTAATCACGTAAGACTTTAGGAAACTCCGAGTCTGGAGGCGAGACTGATTTGCTTTCTCCATTTCTCTGAATTTGTGCTTTAGCAGGACCCTGGAAAGAAAGGTATCTCCACTAAGAACGTGACGAACCAAAGCATGTAATCAAAGGAAAGATCTCATGGAGAAACCAAAAAGGAAAAACTGGAGTCGCAGGGCCTCTCACGGTGGTAGAGGGTATTCATCAGTAGAAGGGTCAATTACAGGCCCGCTCGCGGCAATCTCAGCGGACCAAACAGGTCACATTTGGGTCAGTCAGGCAAAGGGATTCCCAGGACATTCAACAGCGTCATCATCTTCTCGTACTACTCTGAATCTGCGTTTTGCTTTGTCCATCTCCACTTCTGAAATATCGCAGTGCCTGTTTTCTCGGAATCCCATTTCCCCACTTTCATTGCGATCGGATACCCCACTGCTTCGACGACAAGCAGTATTCCAGAACAATTTCACAGGCACTTTTCAGAGGAGAAAATAGCGCTATGAAAAAATGGGGGACCCTCTACCTCGCACCTGGCAGGTATGGGATCCGTGAAGGAGGGGCGATGTGAAGGTGATCTGTGAGAATTCGAAGAACACTACTCATTCCCAGGATAGAATTTCGGAACAAGGTGATCAGTACAAAGTGAACCGGAGAGAAGAATCCCACTATTAAGCAGCAGCGAAAACCCTATATAAGGTCATCCTTCTAATATGGACCCTGAATGGATCATGGTCCGATTTAGACCATAGCCATCCTCCGGGTGGTTTCGAATATCCAACTGGTGGTTTACGTAAAGCATATGCTAGGTGATGAATTGTTTTGAAATCGAATTCAAGTGGTGCAGTGGAAACGTCTGGTTTGTTTTCATGAACTGCTTCAGCCCTTTCAAGATCGAAATAAGGCGTCCGCGCTGAAACGCATGCAAGCCAATAAGGTGATTTACCAGCTATCACAACATTGCCGAGTTATGGGCAAAGTCAGACCGCAGACGGGACTCGAACCTGCATCTCAAGTTGGCCAGGCGAGTGCGCTATTCATTACGCCACCGAGATCGTCAACTGAATCTCTTTCAAGGAGAAATACCACCAAAAGTACAAGTTACTCATTTTCACGAATATGAATGGCCAACTCACACTGAGCGGGTAACAAGAATCAAAGAATTGTTGGTTCGTTGTCAAGTCCGGAGGGATTCTTTCCAAGTCCAAAACCCGTACATTCACGCCACCTCTCCATGTCATCGCTTTAAAACGGCCAACTTCACGTGAATCCGCAAGTATAGTAATCGCTGCTCCATAGCCACCTAAAAACATGAACTTCCGATAAAACAAAGCTTACACAGCCTGAGGTCAAGAGATCGTAGTGGAACAGGGAGATCTGGGAAATTAGGCAGGCAAGAACGAAAAGAGGAATACAGAATCGAGAAGCCGAATCTCCGAACAAGAAAAACTGCTAGTACGGGGGTCACTTCGCGGCATAGCACATCCTGACGCAGCAGTTCCATCGAAACCCGGTGCCTAGTACTATCATTTTTCATGATTTCCGCGGCAAGCTTATTTTCCAAATGCGGCAAAAAACTGAACTAATTGAGAAACTGAACTGTAAAAATTAGATCAAGGGAGATCGTTGGCATCGCCTATACCACCATCAATTCCAATAAACACGACACTTTTATTTAGAGGCACATTCCGCATATGCCACTCTTAGGTCATTGGGTTCATATCTGAGATTTGTGGGCGCCAAATGACTCACAGTCGATTTCGCCGCAGACATTAGGGCCTGTCAACGGGCTGAGTCTTGCGCGGCTCCAGTCCATTTTTTTGAAAGCCGCTGTCGCTTGCGCTCTTCGACAACTGGGGAAGAACGCACTGCAGCCACGCCGAACTCGACCCCCTCCCCCTTCCCACTGAAGTAACAATGAAGAAACAAGCAGAAGAAAATGTCAAAAATGCTATGCATGTGACCACAAAAATGTACGAGCACAGACTGGAGTGAGAGAATGCATGCGCGGACCAGAAAGCAGACAGACATAACAGGGGAGAGAGGAAGACGACAAATAAGGTCCCATAGAGAAAGGAGGCAACATCGTTCCTAATGTGAATATGGTTGCAGGAGCGTGGTCGGGAGTCAACCTAGAAAAAGTGAAGGGTGGGGGGGGGGGAAATTTCACGGAGGACATTTGCGGTCTTTTAACGGTCCTGGCGCTCTCTGAACTACGAAGCTAAATTGCAAGAATCAGGAACGCGTCCTCCTGAATGGACGCTGCCTAATCTTTAAAACTATAGTCTTGCACGCTGCGGATGAAGGAGCGTTTCAGGCGGGATAGCTTTGGTGCAGCGCTAAACCCGTTCTCTAGCCGTTGTTGAAGCGGGTAAGCGACAGCTACAGTCTTGTAGCTTCATTGCTTCAGCAGCTGGTGGAAAATGGTCATCCCGCCTAAAAACCCCTTCGCCTGCAGTGAAGGAGACTGTATGCAAACTCATCTACACTTACCAAAACGAGCTGCTCTTCCAATTCGATGAAAATACGTCTCAACATTGATGGCCGTTTCAAGGTTCACCACCAAATTGACATTGGTCGCATCAATACCACGGGCGGTCAAAAAGAATAAAACATACTATTTCAGCTATGAAGAAATCTGTTGGGAAGTAATAATCATATAAAAACCTACCAAGTCGGTCGAAACAAGAACTTTCAATTTGTTGTGCTTCAGTTTTTCAATGACTGAGTCACGTTCAGGTTGCGTCATCTGTGCAGAGATGGAGGCAGCGAGGAATCCTTCCCTCTCTAGATGGGAATAGGTCGGCTCACACCTGAAGTTATCGTGAAACTCTAGGAGTTCATTGTAAGCCAAAAACGTTTCAACATACTGCTGATGTAGGTTGCAAAACACGAGAGCCTGGTTGAACTGGACTGATTTCAAAAGTCTCACGAGGCACTCTAAGGCTGGCTGGGTGCTCACAACGACATACTGCTTTATACCAATCAGCTGCACATCATCTAAACCAGAAAAGAATGTATGTATTGGAAGAGAGTAGAATATGTAGTCTGTCAAACAAATGATGGCGCTATACCAGTCCGGTAGGACAGCATTTCGATACAGTAAAAAAGGGACAAATCAGGAGGACTTCTTCACTGAATATATGTCGAGGCGCGAGCTGGGTGATGCTTTAGAACGCTTCCGCCTAGCGAGGGGGGTCGTATTAGGAAGAAAGGTCTTTTTGTCTTCGAGAAAAATGGTTTGAGTTGGTGAGTTTTCTCGATTTGTCCTGTTCCAAGCGCGCTGGATACCCCCCCCAACCTCACCGGACGAATGTTCTGAGGGAAGAGGGAGGAATTTCTGAAAAAAATGTGGAAAAGTGATGGAAATCGTGAAAACTTCAGAAGATGGTCGTATCACTGGAGGAAATTCGGGGAGGGGGTCGCGCTTCAAAAAATTTCCCAGACGGCAAGACGTGCCCTGTTGCTGAAACATGCTAGCTGGCGGGAACAGCGCCAAAAGGAAATACATGTTCACACAAAGCTGATCCAAACCAACCAGAATTCAGACGCACCAATGACGCATCTCTCATGAACTTTGCTAGTAATTTATCTAGATCCCGCGGATAAGTAGCAGAAAATACTGCTACTTGACGTGAAGGAGGAAGAGCAGAGAACAGGTAGCTGAAAAGAGTAACCTCTCCTGAACAGTAACATCTCATGAAATGATTTTATGTAACAATTCAAAGAATGGGAAGATAACTGGAGACAATTGATATCACTGGTGTTTTGAGCGTTCAGGAAGTTGGTGAGCATTGTTTTGATATCACGATCACGCAAAATTGGGGTACAGTGGATATTCTGAACTTCTGCGACGGCTCGAGCTCATAATTAAAGCGCCCAAATCACCAAATCCGCTAAAAACTTGTATATAGAGGTAATCCAACATCCTGATTACGACTATGACATTCATTCTTGGCGCTGGCGCTAATGGAGAACACTACGATTATCTGCCCTCTGCTAAAGCTGAACCCAGAAGATAATCGTAGTGTCCTCCATTAGCGCCAGCGCCAAGAATGAATGTCATAGTCGTAATCAGGATGTTAGATTACCTCTGTATACAAGTTTTCAGCGGATTTGGTGATTCTAGGCTTTTGAAAATGAGCTCACAGCCAAAAGTCAGCGCGTCCAAACGCCATTAGCCCGGGTACATGTCGGCTTAGTTGCTTGTGATAGCTGTGGCCTACTTTCGCGTTTGTAGCGGAGATCTCAACTTCTAGCTTGCGAGCTGGTCGTGCTACATACAAGTGTCCTTCGGAATCCCCAGACCCGAAGAATAAGTCTGCGCATGAAATATGTAAGCGCATCGATTTGAACAAACAGATTGAAGGCAATCTGGACAAACGCAAAGATGGTGCGGCTCACTTCTCGATTTCTAGCGTCTTCTTCGGCGATTTCACCGATTCTCCCAACCTGCAGATACTTGGAACCATTTGCATACACTCCTTTTCAGCAGATTCCGCGGAATCGTTGCATATGAATGCGGCCTCTTTGGGAAGCAGCGGTACACCTATTCTCCCTGTTACTTTTTCCTATCCTAATGGATCCTTTTCCTGATTCACAATCGGCTCCTTTGCACTATATGTAATTCTTTGCCAGCTCTATGCTAGGTGCTCTTGTCACGCCAGCCAATCCTATGGACTGATTAAGCGCGGGGTCCCACAACAGACCCCGCGCTTAATCAGTCCATAGGATTACATCCTTGCCCAGGTAGCCCAGTGCGTAGGCGCTAAAACTGTCGTACTCTCGAGGGTTCACAATGAGTCACAAGGACAGTTAAACACGGTATACCGTCTACCACTGCAATTTGTGATAGACGCAGCGTCCTCGTGACTCATGCTGGAGCCGCGAAAGCGGAACTCTTTTCAGGACTACTTAGGAAAGGAAAGAATCGCACAAACTGGTCGCACGCGGGGTCCCTTGAAGAGACCAGTACAAAATAAATGCAGGCTGAATTTTTTCATTTCTTATTTGAACTTCTTCGAATCTGCTGCTTTGCATGATTTCTGTTATTGTTTCCTTTTCTGTCGTTTTATGCAGTAATACCTTTGTAGCGGCGTAGTTCGGTGGGGGGGGGGGGGGAGGGGCATTTTGCATTTCGTTGCTTCACTAGTTCCGGTTTACAAGTCTCACTCTGGTGAAACCTGTGAACTCTTGTGAAGCTGGAGCAAAGCCATCATGGTAAAACCTGTCAACTCGAGAAGAGGCTGCCTAGATGGGTCGACACGTCGATGGGAAGTAGCAAAAGTGCAAAATGCTCTCTCCCCTCCTCCCCCCCCCACCCCGTCCCGCAGCCGAACTGTCTCCCTATGTTCTATAGACCGCTAGTCCTTTCAGGAGGGAAAAATATAAAGGTGAGTGTGGATTACTGAGCGCACAGATTGAAAACAAATACTTCTTAGCTATAACCCACTTAATATCCTTTTGAAAACAGTCTTCCATAAGCTTGTCAGCTTCATCGAGTACGAATAAGTCGATGGATTTCATGTTGAGAGCACCACTTTGTGCCATCTGACAGATTCTTCCCGCTGTTCCAACGACAATATGCACACCTCTTTTAAGGGCCTGCACATCGAGATGAACCGGAGTGCCACCGACCAGCAAACTAAATTTTTAGACGAAATAATAAAAATTTCGATGAAAAAAGCCGGTGAAAACTAACGCGATTCGAGTTTTGAAATGAGCTATCATTTTGATGGTGTCCTTGATTTGAGTGGCAATTTCTCTGGTAGGAGCGATAATAATTTTCTGTACATCATTCGATTGAAGGTTTAAGTTTTCAATGGCAAGTATAGCAAATACAAGTGTTTTTCCAGTCCCAGATTTGGCCTGCACTAACATATCTGAAAAACGAAAATTTTGTGCCAAGTGCGGATCCAAACATCAAAAGAGGAATCTTACCCAGTCCTGTTAAACCCTTGGGAATGGCTTTCATCTGAACTGGTGACGGTATTCGAAAACCATGATTTTTGAGGTTCGTGACAGTTGATGGGGAAATCATCAGCGATTCGAATGAGCCTTGAGTTCGGACATCCTCAGTCCGTAGGTTCGGATCCACGTCGATGATTTCTTGGAACTCCATTTGTAATAATAACGTTTAGGGCCAGACCATCGATCTACAAATGATATTAACCAGCAGATTAAAATAAGAGGAACATCCTCTTGGGAGTAAATCAGATAGGAAAACAGAGAGCCAGAGGAGTAGACAAACGATGATAAGGAACGCTCCCGTAACCCGTTCCTGCCGGAATTGATAAAAAACATTTGCAGCTAAAGGAGACTGCGATAGGGCGCGAAATTAGCCGTGTAGCGCGGAATTTCACGAAGAAAAGAGCCTCCAAGTCACTGCAGTAAATTGCCCGGGATACATCGCTGTTAGGGATTCCCGTCGGGGTGGGGTCCGTTCTGATCGCTGGGAGAGG